CTGGGTTCTCTGGGTGGGAAGGGGTTCAGTGGGATACCGCATGGGGCTGGCGTCCGGACTCCTGGGTTCTCTGGGTGGGAAGGGGTTCAGTGGGTTAGCGCAGGGAGCCGGCACCCGGACTCCTGGGTTCTCTGGATGGGAAGGGGTTCAGTGGGTTAGAGCAGGGGGCCGGTGCCCGGACTCCTGGGTTCTCTGGGTGGGAAGGGTTTCAGTGGGTTAGCACAGGGGCCCGGCGCCCGGACTCCTGGGTTCTCTGGGTGGGAAGGGGTTCAGTGGGATAGCGCAGGGGGCCGGCGCCCGGACTCCTGGGTTCTCTGGGTGGGAAGGGGTTCAGTGGGATAGCGCAGGGGGCCGGCGCACGGACTCCTGGGTTCTCTGGGTGGGAAGGGGTTCAGTGGGATACCGCGTGGGGCCGGCGCCCGGACTCCTGGGTTCTCTGGGTGGGAAGGGCTTCAGTGGGTTAGAGCAGGGGGCTGGCGCCCGGACTCCTGGGTTCCCTAATCCCCTGTCCCCTGTGCCCGCAGCGTGCTGACGCTGGCCATGGTGCGGAGGAGGTATCTGGCCCACGTGGGCCGGGAGAGCCTGGTGCGGGAGGAGAAGGAGTTGCTCAAGCAGCTGGTGGAGGAGGAGCTGCTGAGAATGCAGGTGAGGGGGGGTCGGCGGGGAGGAGGGGGGGGTTGGGGGGAGAGTGGGGCTCGGCAGGGGCGGGTTCCCGTGTAACCTCATTGGCCTGTCCCAGCAGCTGGATGATTCCAGTTCCGACGGGGGGGCCCCGAGCCCCGAGAGCGCCTGGGATGCCCCTGAAGCCGGGGCTGAGAAGCGACCCCGCAGCGGCTCCGACTCGTCGCGGGGGGGCCCCGAGGACATGGCGAGAAAGAAACAGCGACTGGATCAGGGTTCTGGTGAGCAGGTGCCCAGCCCCTCCACCCCAGAGGGGCCACGTCCCAGCGCCCAGTGGGGGTCCCCGTGTCCCCAGCCCCCACACCCCAGAGGGGCCACGTCCCAGCCCCCAGTGGGGGTCCCTGTGTCCCCAGCCCCCCCACCCCAGAGGGGCCGCGTCCCAGCACCGGGCGAGGGGTCCTCCTGTGCCCAGCCCCCGCGTCCCAGCCCTGGTTAACCCCTTGTTCCCCGTCTGGTTTCCAGAGGCCAGTTCTGATGGGGAGGATTCTGGGATTGATTCGAGGAAGCCGAAACTGGCGCCTGCCCAGGAGGATGCTGGGAAATCCGGGCACACGGGATCGTGTGAGGACGAGGGGGACTCTGGGGCAGAGGAGACACCTGACTGGGGTGGCACCCGCAGAGAGAGCAACTCCGAATGGGCAGCTGGCAGCGAGGGAACGAAGCAGCCCCCGAGGAGGAGAGCAGAGGGAGCCGAGGCGCAGGACCGGCTGGGGAAGAAGCGAGCGAGAGAGGCAGAGCGGAGGGGTGACTGTGGGGAGCAGAAGGGGAAAGCAAACGGGGGGATCACAGCTCAGACGCAGGAGGAATTGGGGAGTGAATCGGCAGTGGAAGAGGAGGAGTGTAAGCGGCAGAAGCAGACAGGGAAGACGGGAGCGAGGAAGACCAAGCGGAGGAGTGATAGCGAGGAGGAGGGGGACAGCAAGAAAAAGGGGAGGATGAAGGCTCAGGGGACGGAAGTGGGGAGCGACTCTGAGGTGAACGAGAAGGAGTGTCAGAGCAGAAAAGGGGCAGGGAAGAAGAGAACGAGGAAGGCAGGGAGATGGAGTGATAGTGAGGAGGAAGAGAACAAGGAGAAGAGGACAAAGGCTCAGAGAGAGGAGGAATCAAGGAGCGAGTCAGAGGAGGAAGAGGAGGGTAGGAGCCGGAAGCCGGCAGGGAAGAAGGGAACGAAGGAGGCCAAGCGGAGGAGTGATAGCGAGGCTGAGGAAGTGGGCAGCAGGAAGAAGACAAAGGCTCAGAAGTGGGAGGAATCGGGGAGCGAGGAAGAGGAGGGTAGGAGCAGGAAGCCGGGAATGAAGGAGGCGGAGCTGGAGAGGAAGAAGAGGACGACGAACGCCCAGAGTGAGGAGGAATCGGGGAGCGAGGAAGAGGAGGGTAGGAGCAGGACGGGTACGGGGAAGATGGGAAGGAGGAAGGCCGAGCGGGGCAGCGAGAGCGAGGAGGAGGAGGGTGAGAGCAGGAAGGGGACGGGGAAGATGGGAAGGAGGAAGGCCGAGCGGGGCAGCGAGAGCGA